ACACGACATTACAAAGGAGTGTATACCAAGACAGTCCCACAACATCCAGAGCCTTAAGGAAATCAGGTGAATCTCATCCACTCCTGGATACCTGCCATCTCTGGGGTTGATCCGTCCATAACAGTGGCTGAGATTGCCGAGGTAGTTAAAAAGCTCAAAGTCCCCCGACTCAGCTTCCTCCATGGAAGAAATGCTGAAGGGATTGAGAAGGTCCGAGAATTATTCCTTCCACTCTCGACAACATCACTGGTTGCGGTCAACAGCACCCCATCTTCAATGAACACAGTGGTAGTAAAATGCTGTTTTCCCCTCCTCAGCTGCCTGATGGCTTGCCAGGATCTTCTGGGAGATAACCGAGAGTCTCTATCCAAGGTCTCACTGAACTCCTACCACATCTGAGCTTTTGCCTCAGCAACAGCCAAGACTGTGGACCGCTTGGCCCTCCGGTACTCCTCAGCTGCCTCCAGAGTCCCACTGGTCAACAAGGCCCGATAGGACTCCTTCTTCAGCTTGAAAGCCTCCCTAACCCGGGGTGTCCACCACCAAGTTCATGGATAGCCACCACAAGAAGTATCGACAACCTTGCGGCCACAGCTCAAGGTAGCTACCTCAACAAACGAAGTGTGGAACATGGCCCACTTGGACTCAATGTCCGCCACCTCAGGTGGGATGCATTTAAAGCTCTCCTGGAGGTGTGAGTTGAAGATCTCTCTGACAGGTTCTTCTGCCAGGCATTCCCAGCAAACCCTTACTACATGTTTGGTCTACCGGGTCTGTCTGGTATCTTTCCCTGCGATCTGATCCAACTCACTACCAGGTAGTGATCAGTTGACAGCTCAGCTCCTCTCCTCACTCGAGTGTCCAAAATAAACATCCGCAAATCAGATGACACAACTATAAGTCAATCATCGATCTACAACCTAGGGTATCCTGGTACCAAGTGCACTTATGGACACCCTTATGTTCGAACATGGTATTCGTGATGGACAAACTATGACTAGCACAGAAGTCTAGCAACAGAACACTGCTCGGGTACAGATCAAAGAGGCTATTCCTCCCAATCACGCCCCTCCAAGTCACACTGTCATTACCCACATGGGCATTGAAGTCCCCCCAGCAGAATAAATGTGTCCTCAACTGGCACACTTTCCATCAACCCTGTCAAGGACTCCAAGAAGACTGGATACTCTAAACTGCAGTTCGGCGCGTAGGCACAAACAACAGTTAGAGCCTGTCCCCCACCTGTAGGTGAAGGGAAGCCACCATCTACTGAGGAAAACTCTAACACACAGGCACCAAGTTGGGGGGCTACAAGTATACCCACACCAGTTTGACATCTCTCACGATGGGCAACACCAGAGTGGAATAAGGTCCAGCCCTCTCAAGGAGATCAGTTCCAGAGCCCATGCTGTGCATCGAGGTAAGCCCAACTATACAGGTCCTTCTCAAAAAATTAGCATATTGTGATAAAGGTCATTATTTTCCATAATGTAATGATAAAAATGAAACTTTCATATATTTCAGATTCATTGCACACCAACTGAAATATTTCAGGTCTTTGTTTTAATATTGATGATTATGACATACAGCTCATGAAAATCCAAAATGCCTGTCCCAAAAAATTTGCACATCATGAAAAGGTTCTCTAAACAAGCTATTAACCTAACCATCTGAATCAACGACGTAACTCTAAACGCCTGCAAAAGATTCCTGAGGCTTTTAAAAACTCCCAGCCTTGTTCATTACTCAAAACCGCAATCATGGGTAAGACTGCCGACCTGACTGCTTTCCAGAAGGCCATCATTGACACCCTCAAGCAAGAGGGTAAGACACAGAAAGAAATTCCTGAACGACTAGGCTATTCCCAGAGTGCTGTATCAAGGCACCTCAGTGGGAAGTCTGTGGGAAGGGAAAAGTGTGGCAGAAAACGCTGCACAATGAGAAGAGGTGACCGGACCCTGGAGAAGGGCCGATTCCAGACCTTGGGGGACCTGCGGAAGCAGTGGACTGAGTCTGGAGTAGAAACATCCAGACCCACCGTGCACAGGCGTGTCTAGGAAATGGGCTACAGGTGCCGCATTCCCCAGGTCAAGCCACTGTTAAACCAGAAACAGCGGCAGAAGCTCCTGACCTGGGCTACGGAGAAGCAGCACTGGACTGTTGCTCAGTGGTCCAAAGTACTTTTTTCGGATGAAAGCAAATTTTGCATGTCATTCGGAAATCAAGGTGCCAGAGTCTGGAGGAAGACTGGGGAGAAGGAAATGCCAAAATGCCAGAAGTCCAGTGTGTAGCACCCACAGTCCGTGATTGTCTGGGGTGCCATGTCAGCTGCTGGTGTTGGTCCACTGTGTTTTATCAAGGGCAGGGTCAATGCAGCTAGCTATCAGGAGATTTTGGAGCAGTTCATGCTTCCATCTACTGAAAAGCTTTATGGAGATAAAGATTTCATTTTTCAGCACGACCTGGCACCTGCTCACATTGCCAAAACCACTGGTAAATGGTTTACTGACCATGGTATTACTGTGCTCAAATGGCCTGCCAACTCTCCTGACCTGAACCCCATAGAGAACCTGTGGGATATTGTGAAGAGAAAGTTGAGAGACGCAAGACCCAACACTCTGGATGACCTTAAGGCCGCTATCGAAGCATCCTGGGCCTCCATAACACCTCAGCAGTGCCACAGGCTGATTGCCTCCATGCCACGCCGCATTGAAGCAGTCATTCATGCAAAAGGATTCCCGACCAAGTATTGAGTGCATAACTGAACATGATTATTTGAAGGCTGGTGTTTTTTGTATTAAAAACACTTGTCTTTCATTGGTGGGATGAAATATGCTAATTTTTTGGGACAGGCATTTTGGGTTTTCATGAGCTGTATGCCATAATCATCAGTATTAAAACAATTAAAGACCTGAAATATTTCAGTTGGTGTGCAATTAATCTGAAATATATGAAAGTTTCATTTTTATCATTACATTATGGAAAATAATGACCTTTATCACAATATGCTAATTTTTTGAGAAGGACCTGTATCTAGTCCTCTCAACCTTGCACACAAACTCAGACTCCTTCCCCACCAGAGAGGTTTCATTCCATGTCCCAAGAGCCAGCTTTGGTAAGTCAGTGTCAGAGTGCCAAGGTCCCTGCCTATGGTCACTGCGCATGGCAATATGCGCAGACTTTTATGGCCATTCCTGCAGGTGGTGGATCCACAGGAAGGCAAACCCATGCTGCGTCTTTGGGCTGAGCTTCTTTGTGGGCTCGCCGACAAGCCCCTCCCCCAGGCCTGGCTCCAGGGTGGGGCCCTAGTAACCCACGTCCAGGCAAGGGACACTGAGTTCTTTGTTTTGTCCTGTCCATAAAAATCTTCTTAAATAAAATCTTCTGAGTCGCTCTTTGTGTGGCCTGTCACCTAGGACCATTTTGCATTGGGAGATCCTACCAGGGGCAATTAAAACTGCCCCTGACAGCATAGCTCCTAGGATCATTCAGGTGCACAAACTCCTCCACAAGGTGGCGATTCAAAGAGGAGAATGTGGTGATTGAAGGAGGAATCAAAGACCCATATAT